TCAGAGCTCATAATAATTTGCTCATATATTTGTTTTATAATGACAAAAAAGCAAGCACACACAAAGATGCCAAGGTGCAAAGTACTGAAGAATTATATTTAAAACACAACTTTTATATATGGATTTTTTTTAAAGAGCTACTATATAAGGATCAGATTTACAGCATTGTTGATTTTTTTTTTCAGATAGTGAAGAGGGAATTATTATTCTGACATGTTATACTTTAATTTCATAAAATCAGTTCCCTTTTATTGTATATTTTGATGTCCATTCTCTGTATACATGGAATCCACATTGGTAAAGCATTGAATCTATGACTCGTTTCTAATCAAAGCTTGATTTTGAGTCCATCTTAAATGACCGTATGTACTACAGTGCTGTTTGGACAATGTGTTGTGTTCAGTGTGCAATATCAGAAAGAAATGTCTTGAGCGTGAGTGTATGTTTATGTACTGGACATAGTGGAACATGATATGCATGGTAGAAAGATCCTCACTGATTTACAACTCATATGAATGCTCTGAAAACATCTATGAACAACAACAACAAAAAAGCAAAACAATGTACAATTAATAACTGAAATAATCATCACATAGCAGCTGTAAAGTACAAAGTAGCTGTGTATTTTGTGTTGTTACTTATCTTAAATTTCAACAAACAGGACGGCAAGTGTTACAGTCTTCAGGGATTCAAGCAATTAATTATTGTTGACTGTGAAAATGAATATACAAGAATGTATATTATATTTAAAAAAAAAATTGTGTTATCTCTAATTCCAAAAAAAGTAGATCTGGGTTTGTTAAAAAATTGTAGACCAGTTTCTTTAATGTGTTCAGATTATAAAATAATATCTAAATGTTTAGCTAATAGGCTAAAGAAATATTTACATGTTGTGGTGAAGAAGGAACAAACATATTGCATTCCAGGTCGCACAATTATGGATAATTTGTTTTAATGAGAGATGTTATAGATGTTTCTATTAATAATAATTGTGATGTCGGGTTTTTATCTATTTATCAAGAAAAAGCCTTTGATCATGTTGGACATGCATTTCTTTTTGAGGTTTTAGAAGCTTTTGGGTTTGGGAAAAATATAATTGCTTGGATAAAGTTGTTGTATAATAATGCATCTGTTTTGATCAAGATAGGAGGAGGGGGGTTGAGTAGCCCAGTAGTTGTTAAAAGAGGCATTAGGCAGGGGTGTCCTCTTTCAGGGCAGCTATATAGCTTAGTAATTGAACCTCTGTTATGTAATTTAAGAAATAATTTGAGAGGTTTTTATGTTTCAGAAAACGTCAAATGTTTTGTGTCTGCATATGCAGATGACATAAATGTTTTTGTAACTGGTCAAGAAGATATTCAAGCACTTTGTAAGAGCCTAACTCTATTTGAAAAGGCTTCTTCTGCAAAGGTAAACTGGGGGGAAAGTGAGGGGTTTATAATGGGTGAATGGAGGAATGGTGGGATAC